CCTATTCGTCTTTTTAACAGAATTGAAGCTCTCAAAACTTGGTACAGTTTCACCATTCAAGGTGAAAGATATGTGGATTTTTGTTTTGCCATATTCATACCACACAAAAGTGCTGTTTTTGAAGCACATCAGATAAAGTTTACACATCTATTAAGAAAACATTTGCGAATCCACAGAGAAGACCCAAAGGTCTTAAAGCATCAAGGTATTTTTACATCATGAAAATTTTTTCTATTTTTTTTAAATGATTTAGTTACTTTTATTTGATCTGAAAATTTACTTACATGTAAGTTCCATGTATATATTTTTTCCTTTGAGTAAAAAACCTTCAGCTGGATATACATTACAGTCTTTTAGTCTATATTTGCTGACTGCATCTGTGAGTAAACACATTCCTTCTTGCAAAGACCCTCTTAGTGGTCAGTGAGGATGCACACAAGCATAGTTACCAGCCTGAACTTACAAGGTCCATCAGCTGAAACATTGTGTTTGTAGAGCAGAAGAAAGCATAGTATGAAATTGTTCTCTGATGATGTCTCTTCTAGCAAAGCTATTTCTAAAATTGTTACAAAAAGCACTAGGCTTTTGTCATATGGATATTGCTGCATTTCTCTCTTTTCAAATTGGGTTATCCAGTTCAGCTCAGGCCTTCTAAGCACAATATCAATAACCTCTGCTACACTGACTTTAGAGGACTGTGACCTTTGAGTTCTCTTCTCAGTCTTCCATCAGTGTTGGCAAAATGGAAATGTAATCTTTTTTCCCCAAACCCTGAGAGGATGGGGAGCTGGAGTTGGTGGGAGCAGTGGCAGGAGCACGACACAGGCAGCTGGCATAAGAAAAGCTGTTCTCACGCACTCCTTGTCTCTCTCGCACAGATGTCATCAGCTGACGGTAGGAGTAGCAGCAGCAGGATCACAGGGATGTATCTTACATGATTCACTAGGGTCCTGAGTTCATAAAAATAGCAAAAAGCACAGACAGTTTCCAATAAGAAGTAATCTCTAGGGTGTAATGCCCTGGAAGGCAAGTAGTCTTTTCTTTTGGAATTTTCCACTTATCCTCATTATGACATCTTTGCATTGCAAACACCAAGCTGCTGTGAGCATTCCCATGGCAAAGCAACTCTGTGGTTTGCCATGTGCATGGGCTAATTGTTATAGACTCACTCCACTTTCATTTTCTTTGTATTTTCATTACCAGACATGGAAAATAGAAAAACTACCCTTTAGCAAATCTATTTCCTGTCTTATTAAAATAGTCACCGTTGACAGCTCTTCTCTCAGTCTCAGTAATATTGATTTACACTAAAAATCAAGCCTTCCCATCACTTCCCACCTACTACATTAGTTCTTGGGGAAAATTCTGGATTGTTATCCCTAGACAATGAAAAGACTTGTAAAGGCTGCCACCAGTGACTTTCTTATCTCAGTTGAAGCTGAAGAGCACAGCTGGGGTTATATTGCTAGCTCAGACTTCATACTCGCTAAGGAGCAGCTAGTATCTATGACAGTACTACACCAATTTCCAGCTTGAGATGTCATTCAAACTGAAACCTCAAAGTCCTTCTCTGTGTTTTATTACTTTGTATGTAACCATCAAAAGGAAAATTTTTCAAATTCTCATTTAGACGCTTGTTCTGCAAATATGTATGCATTTGCATTAACGTGAATAATGACATCAAAGAAGGTCAGATTAATCACATAGTTGTGTTGTATGTATGCTTAGAAATTTCAGAACAAAATTAAATAAAGATTTGAAATCTCTGCCTTAGAGATTTGTGGCCTAGATAGCATCCATCATCTATATATATATATATATATATAGTATCAGTCATCTGTCCTAACAGCTGTTTTACATCCTTTGTACCAGTGGGATTCAAATGGACAGTTAAGGGCATATCTCTGTCAATAAATGACAAAAAGGTATGAATGGTCATTTGGAACACAGCCATCAAGTTAGAAGATGGGAAATAGCTTCTGTTTAAGACAGCATTTACTATTTTCTTTTCAGCACCTTAAATACTTGCTTTCATTAGTATTTGAAAGTTTATTTTCAACAATTAAATCTTCTGATGTTATCAATATTTACTGAGACTTCAGTAATAGAAGATACTGATCTGTATGCTAAGGAATAAAAAAATAGATATCTATAATAAAGAGAATATTGGTTGTATAAGTCATATTAATAAAAATTTGTCCAACAAGTTTGATTCAACAGATTAATGTGCTACTGTCATTCTTGGACTCTGCTGCTAATTTTAGCTTGATATCATCCATTTTCCATACAAGCTTAAATATCAAAACCTTACCTTTACTCAGTACTTGTCAAAGTATTCTGTTGAGGAAATTACAAAAAAGGAAAGTTGTGAAGACTGTTGGTAGTTCTTACACTTTAGATTTCCACTCAAAAAGTCTCACTTCAGTCTCAAAGCAGAATCTATTTTAAAGCCTGAATTGAGGTAGTCTTGAGATTTAGCCAGGTGATCAGAAGCAATTATGTTAGTGTGATGTAAGAATCTCTCAGCTGCAACCTAATAACTGGCTGTGTGCACTGTGCACTCTTACAGTCTACTTTAGTACAAATAATACTGGTTCATTTAATCCACATTCCTATTTTAAGTACCTGTCAGCATTTTAAAGTGCTTTGCAAAAGCCTGCTTTACTTGCCAGAGCAACGGAGATGTAAGAGTGCATGTAGTTACTGGTATAGGCTGGGAAGATGATTACTTGCAGCTGGAGGCAATAATTTCCTGAAACTTGTAGCCTGATCCAATCCTGAAAATACTTTTATTTTAAAGTGAGGAGGTGGAGGAGGTCTTCCTTAGTCAAATATGAAGCATCACATTAGATACATGATGAGCCTTTCATTTTCTGAATGACTGCTCAAGTTAGCTTGTGTTGTCTGCATTTGTCTGGATGTCTGTGGTTGTCTTTGGTTGTCTCACTGAGTGGATTTCAGGAACCAAGTGTTGTGTTGGGTCAGTGCCCTGAAGGTCAGCTTGATGCCTCTCTGGGGATCACTGGAGGCCACAGTTCTTCTCAGAGGGCTCTGAATGGCCCTGCCTGGTATCTTTACCAGCATCATCAGCTATAGGTCCTCCTTTGCTTCTGCCCTGTAGAAAAACAGCCACTGGAGGTAACCTCATTTCTTCCAGTTTGTTTAAACAAAGCTCTCCTGCCCATTGTCTATGCTTAGTGGAATCCCTATCATAGAAATCATGTTCATGTTGTTAAGTTGTACAATGCTTGCTCATTGAATAATGCAGCAAGATTAAGTCTTTGGCCAACTTCTAGCTATATTCATCCAAATGATTTACTGCGTTTGGCTCTTTTGAAAGATTTTTTCGTGGCTATGTGTTGCTAGCAAAGCTTTTCTGGTTTTGGTACATGGACCATAATGGGAAAAAAAGTTCTGATCCAGTAATACAATATTCCAGGTTGTCTACTATTATTCTATTTAAGAAAAAATACAGGTAGAGATGGAATATGTGCATACCTATGAATCTTTTGGGAATCTTTCAAGATATACGATGATATTATCATTAGTAACAGTGAATCATAGAATATCCTGAGTTGGAATGGATCCATAAGAATCACTGAATCCAACCCCTGGCTCTGCACAGGACCACCCACCTCAAAAAATCAAACCCTATGTCTGAGGGTATTGTCCAAACACATCTCCAACTCTGGCAGCCCGTTCCATGCCCACCGCCCTCTGGTGCAGAACCTGTCCCTAAGCCCCCCTGCCCCTCCCCTGACACAGCTCCATGCCATTCCCTCAGGCCCTGTCGCTGAGCTGTAGGCTGCCATGAGGCCTCCCCTCAGCATCTCTGCACTGGGCTGAACACACACAGGGACCTCAGCCGCTCCTCATACATCTTGGCCTCTAGACTCTTCATCCTCTTTTAGCCCTCCTTTGGTTGTTCTCAGATAGTTTTACGTCCTCCTTATCACGTGACAACCAAAGCTGACTTTCCAATGCCCTTCAGACAAACAAAGCTCTCAGGGAAGTACAGTTAAAATGAATTTGAGCCATTTCTTTGTACTTTCTATTCTGGACTGTTTTGGATGCTGTTCCATTCCTAGTATAACTTACACTGTAAGGAAAACTGCAGGGTATAACAGCTGTTATGGATTACAGTATTGATGTCCACATCATTATGAACCCCTCCTAGTTCTGACAGACTGCTGCAATACGGAGTGTAGAAGCAGCATTCCCTACTGAGGAGCTTTGTACCATCTACAAAATACTTAAAATCAAAGTTTGCCACTTACTGGGAGTCAAGGCTTTTACAGTTTGCTACATTCTGCCACAGAGGAGTGTTAAATTCACCCACTGAGTTAATTTTGGCCAGAAGTTCTACTAGTCTAGTTGAGTTTCTCTTTTTGCATTTTCTGGATGCTGTCATACCATTCCTGTATTTCTTCTGGGAACATCCATGTTTAAGAGAAATAATTTGGCTTTCAGTCTGCAATCAGAGGAAAATTTTGAGTATTTGAAGTATTTCTGAAGCCTGGGCACAATAAACTTTGTTCTATCGAATCTTCTAATTTAAATGATCTCATCTTAAGTGCTGTAACATTTCCTGCTTGATCAAGCTGTAGAAGGGCAATGGATCATTGTACACATTTTTTTTTTATACACCCAGTTCATATTTTACATTCCACTAACATAATTCTTTCTGAGGAACTGCTAACATCTTGAGAAATGCTGTAGAGAATAGCCATTTGTTTCAGTTTTCACTTTAGATGTATCTGTCTTAAGAAACTTGAGGGTGATGCTCTATTTATTAAAACAAACTTCTCTTTGTTCATTTTCTTGAATAAAACTAGATATAGAATCCCTTAATTAATTTTGCTGTGCAATAGAAAAACCATGATTGTCACAGCTTTGGGGCTATTTTTCATTTGCTCTGCAGTTTGCAGGATTGTGTCATGATAAGATTGCCTGTATTTCTTGTATTTTTTTTCTTTTTAATTTTTTTTTAATATTATCAGCTTGTGCAAGTGGACTCCAGAGCTGTACATCTCGGTGCTGTTTTGATTCGTGGCCTTACAACGTTGCTCATGGCCAATAGTGCCTGCGGCTTTCCATTCAGAATGGATGATTTGATGCCCTGGAAAGTGTTTGATGGAAAACTTTTTCAAGAAAAATACCAAAAGTCACACCAAAGTTGCTCTTTGGAAGAGCTTCTGGAAGGCAACGTGAGTAATTACTTCTTCTCAAAGAGTTTTGTATTCCTTGAAAAATGTACCTGTCCATAATTATTGTTGCACTGACCTCCTTTCTTCATATTTTTCTTCTTTTCATTATTATTATTTTATCCTTCATGCCAAATACGCCATAGTAGGATAGAAATACTGAGACTATGTGGAAAACTAAACATCTGCCTTTCTTTTTGTTTCCAATACTCAGAAAACAATACAAGGAAGTATAAAAATGCTTGCCAATTTCAAAAAAATAAAAATTACCATAGCAGTTTTCTAGTACTTGTAAATACAGTGAGATCTTTCTGCTGCAAGACTTGAGGCAGAATTATAAGGGTATATATAGATCATCTTATTAGGTATAACTTACTGTATAATCAAAGAATATTAAGATACTATGATTACAAAATAAGAAAGTTAGGCAAAGCAAATTATAATAACAAAAGGAAAATAGACAGAAAGCTTACCCATATCCTGGGCTCACTTACAAAACTGCAGCAGACCAGATCTCCAGAAGAGACCCTTCCCAACTCATAGCCAGCTCTTAAATAGGTCTAGTAGACGTGAAGCCAGGCTCCACCCCTTCCTGCAGCACAGGTGAATTGCCTTCACCTGTGCTCCTGTGGCTGACTCATTGCTCACCTCAGGTGATCAATCAGAGGTTCAGGCCATGACTCAGCAGTTCCCATACACTTACAAAGCACATAAGAGGGATATTTTGAAGGTATTAAGGAACTTAAAATTTGAGATGGAGGTTCAGTGAATTCCAGAAGGAACAGGAAGCCAGAGGAGGGTATTATCTAGGCATTTTTTTTTGCAGAATCTCACCACGTACATTGTGTTTTCTTGTACCTTTAAGTACTTAACACTTGATCTCATTTTTCAGAAGCTGGGGGCTCTTACAATTTTCTTGCCATGTTACCTAAAAATTGTATAATTTAAAACACGTCTGTATTGACTTGAGCAGACAGATATCAGTAGTCTTGCTTGGTGTGGGCCACGGTGATGCATTAAGGTGATACCTTAGAGGTAAGGTCTGCTTGACAAAGTGCAAGGCTGTATTAACCTGAGGTGAGAACTGCCTTATGCCCCACCAACGCAAAATATGTGGAGAGGAGATTGGGTACATCTATACTCACCTGTGTAGATAGCTCTTGAGACCTTAAATTCATACCTCTATTTTCAATGTTGAACACATACGATTTAATTATTTCTGAAAGCTTTAGTTTATGAAATAGCTTTTTTGTGTTGTTGCATCTGTCATGTGTGGTTAAAACAAATGTTATTATAGAGAAATGAGTTTTATTTTTTGATAATTTCAATCTTGTGCATTTTGTATCAGTTTTACTGTAGTTTTCTTGTCCATTTCTGTGTTTAATTAGTTTGCATCCTAATCTGGAGTGATAGTGGAGTGCATGTACGTGGTGGATTGTAGATGATAATCCTTTCCGTATGGAGTCAGTTGTATGATTAGGACTATCATCTCCATCCAAACCCTGTGGCTCCTACGGATCATAGAATCACAGAATCAAAGAATTGCTCAGGTTGGAAAAAAACCTTTGTAGAATCATAGAATAGCCTGGGTTGAAAAGGACCTGAAAGATCATCTGATTTCAACCCCCCTGCCATGGGCAAGGTCGCCAACCACTAAACTAAGCTGCCCAGAGCCACATCTAGCCTGGCCTTGAGTGCATCCATTCTCCTTCAAGATCATCAAGTCCAACCACAACCTACCCATACTACCCTAACTCTGACAGCCCACCACTAAATCATGTCCCTGAGCACCACATCCAAATGGATTTTAAACACATTCTGGGATGGTGACTCAACCACTTCCCTGGGGGAAGTCTATTCCAGTGCTTAACCACCCTTTCTGTAAAGAAGTTTTTCCTGATATCCAACCTAAACCTCCCCTGGCTCAACTTGAGCCCATCAATCTGTTGATTTCAGCAGATTTTGGATTGGGCCAGCAATTCATTCAGTATTTCCTGTAGAACTTTTGCAGAACAATAGAGGACTAAAGAATAAATTAAAAAATAAAAATAAAAACAACACAAATTTACATACACCTTTGTGAAACTATTTCTTTTTCATTTGGGTAAAATTCAGGTTAGTTAACAGCTTTTAGCATATGTGTACATAAATCTGAAAAACAAGAAAAAGATATTGACTGAGAGTAATTCTGAACTATATTAGCTGGTATGCTTTAGTTAACATTTGAAAATCTCATTATAACCAGATTGAAGTTCTATTTTAGTGTGTCTCAGGAGGTGAGGACAGATACTTAGATCCCTAGAACAGAGCTGGAGTTTTATTTGACCAACTAAAATATCTAGGATAGGATTTTAGAAAGCATGATACTCAAGTTTAAACAAATCCCAGATAAACTGTTCCGTCGGGAGAAAAAAAATAGCCCAGTCCTGTTAATTTTAAATAACTTTTTTATTTTTTAGGTATGATATATGGCAGAGAGAGCTTCCAAACTAATAAAATAGCTTTCTAGTTTATCAGTTTGAAAAGCAAGAATCTGTTTTTGGGAGAATTGCTGAGAGATGCCAGTTCAGTTTAGCTGGGGACACTGGCAGGGCAACGAGTGTATGTGATTGGTTGCTCTATTACTATAAATTGAACTTAATAAATAAAACTGGTACTTAGTTCCTGGCAGAGCTTAATGTATCATTGGAAGCCAAAGTCTTTCAGCACTTGTTTGTTAGCAATCTACCCTTCAGCATCATAAATCTGACCTGTGGATAGCTACAGCACTGTATTTAGGGAAAAAAAAAAAAGTTATTCTACATTGGTTTTGTTATTGTAAAGAGAAATAAAAGGAAAAAGTTACTGCTTTGGTGTTCCCTGCTTGTTTCCTAACTCCTAGGGTCTCTCTATGTATCTGGACAGTTATATTACTTCAGGGAGTTCAGAAGATCTCGGAATCAGAGTTGTTTTGATTATGATGGTTTAAATCCATTTAATAACTTTATGGAAACTATGGTGGAAGCACCATTTTGGTTAAATATTTACGTGTGCACAAGCACTTGTCAATGTTTTAAGGTTCGCTTACTTACATATTCTTTTGCTGAAGGAATAAAATGTGTAAATTAAATGCAGTTAATATATTTGTGGGCAAGATGGTGTTGTTTGCTTGTTTGTTTTGTAATTCAGCTCTACACAGCCTTAGAAATTTTTAAAGATAAAAAGCTGATAAGAATTGAAAATACATCCATCCTGTTTTTAAAAATATATATACTTAGTCCTTATTGCACTAGTTCTCTGTTTTTCATAGTAGTAATTATATTGGTTTATTTATCCACACAGAAAATTGGATATAATAGTCCCATAAAGCAGTGAGGTAATGATATTATCACTTCATTAGTCTTTTTATTGCTCTTCTCAGGGTATGTTCATTATCTTTTTTCTTTTTTTAAATTAAAAACAAATTACCTACTGGGTCAGCATAAGTGATATGTTTTGGCCTTTTTTGATCACGCCTTTCATGCAGCCTTCATAAACACATCCTGAATTTGTTCTCTCAGTAATATAGTGAGAGGATTTTCCAATTAGTGGGAGTTCTTCACAGACTGTACTTAGTCTGTATGAAAAAAATTGTAGATATCAGTGGGATGTGCTTAAGACTTTGCCTGAAAACAGGGTTATTAATACAAAAAAAAAAAAAAAAAAAAAGCTAGGAAAGAAGTTCATGAGGGAGTTCAGAGATTCAGACTCTAAAGAAACCTCTTCAGTTCCTCCAGTCCTGACACACGTTGGCTTTTTACCTTTTCCTGTAATCCTCTCTCATTGCTGCTCCCTTTCCACCACATAGGTTACAAAAATGGAATTGTCATCCTGCTAAAAATCAGTCCAGTTTTATGAAAAATCACTAATTATGATGACGTTTTCATTCTTTTCAATGTGTGCAACTTCCCACGTAAATCAATAAGCAAAGAAAAAGATTATAGGATGTGACGCTTCTACAAAGCTCACTGAAACCTGTAAAGTTAGATATGTAGGTTGCTGCAAAAGTAACGCCTCCTGTTTATTTCCATGGAAACTACAACAGATAGAACACAATAGCTCTGTTTGGTGGAGAAGCTACACAACATTTTTTTTTCAAAGTTACTACCATTAGCTGTGCTTTTTTGCCAGCAATGAACAAAAGCCTGCATGTTGCACTTGTAACAGTCTGTGGAAGTGACCCACTGTGGAGGTGATCTGCTGTCACCACTGCTGAAACACACCAACCACCTCCGCACTGTGCTCACATCCACTGTTTGGTTTCCGTAATCATTCAGCAAGCATCAGTGAATTTCAGTGGGTGCCATTTTTATCTCATGGAGAAATTCAGTCACACAGCTCTGCTTCATATGCACTTCCATGTCAGACACCATTTGGTGAGACTGCTCCTCTGCTGCCATCTGTCATACAGCAACAACATGTAATGGAATATTGGTGTGAAGGTTCGACCTCTGCTGCCATACCACCAATATCTGCCTCTGATATCAGGTGCCATCATAATAAAATAGGAGGCATTGCTTTCAGAGCAGCCCTCATGTACCACATCTTGTAGTATTGGGTCTTCAAATAGTTTTCGCTTGTCCTTTTGACAGCAGAACTTTTCAGCCCACAGCCCACTGATATTCAGTTCCTCCATGTCTCTAGATGAGGTTGCATTTTATCAGACAACAAATATCTGGAGTTAAGGCTGATGTATTACTATTGTGTTTGTAATGTATGAGAGTAAGATATTTTGATTTTTCACTCATTCATTCCACTTTGCCATGAGACTTTACCTGTCTCTCCCTGAGGTACTGCTGATAGACTTAAGCCTAGGTAGCAATTCAAAACAATAGAATGTGGAAGTAAGTAATGAACAGATGTGAGCAGAGAAGAAAAACAAACATAACCAAAAGAGGAAAACACATTCCTTCTGCACCCCTAATAGCCCCTCGAAGAATCCGTTTTTAATACTAAACATTTCGTTTCCTAAAAAATGTGAACCAGAAAATCTTCACGTATGTATGAGTGTGGACTAATAAAATAATTTTGATTGCTATATTTGTAATTGATTTGTGCTACACCTGAAGATAGAAAGATAGAACAGCCATTAATGTTAATGCTGTTGTCTCCAGGAGTCTTTGTATACACCCTTCCAGAATCTGAAGTCGCTCATTTGCAAGGTTTGTGCGGTGAAGAAAAGAACAATACAGAGCAGACCAAGAGGGAGTGGATTTATCACAGGTTGGCATTATGTTAATTTTCTCAACCAAATCAACGTGTTGATAAGTTCAGTTATCCTTCAGCTGCAACAGCATTTACCTAGGGAGCATGTCAAGCTAAATAAATCATAAGATTTTTCTCCAAGAAACCAAAGGAGAGATTTAAGAAAATGCCTCCTGCTTTTAGGAATTCATGTGGATTGGATTACCCAAGTTTGGATAAAATATTTCCATCTAGTTACGTAGCTAGTGAGATACACACAGTAAATAAAATATTATTCACTGACAGAAACCACTGCTATTTGCTCAGTGACTAAAGTTATTTTTATAGGAAGAACTGAATGACAGGTTTTTTCTGCCTTTCCCTAAAGGGAGCTATTTTAGCCATGATAGTCTAAGGTCTGAATAAGGCATTGAAGATACACTGATGCAGTTCAAAACCAAGGCAAGCTTTGAGGCAGTGTGGAGAAGGGCTTTCAGCCTAAGACTTTGGCTTACTTTTTTCCAACTGTGTGGCTTGCTGTACTAAAGACATTCCTTTTCCCACCTGATCTGCCTGACCTTCAAAAAAAAAAAAAAAATCAAAAATATTTTCAGCCTGATTGACACACATCTTGATTGTTGAGGTTTTTGAGGCATTGAAATAATTCATTCTGAAATGATTAGATTTTAAAATGTCATCATTACTATTCAAAATGCTGTTATTAAGTAGTGTCTCTATATTTTTGAAATATGGATAAGACATTGTCTTATAATAAGGCATTGTCTGCTAGTTATTTCTATTAAGAAAATGTTTATGCCTTCAGCTTTTGGTAATCTTTACACAGAACACTAAGAACCTCTAGCTTCCCTTTGTATGTCAGCTTCTCTCTATGAATTTGAGTGCTTTTTCATTTTATGTGAGAGGAAGGAAGGTTTTTTGATAGCTTTTGAATGTATGAACTGGTAGATGGTCTAGGTAACCTGTCTGTGGACCTTTTTATTCGTATAAGCTGTTCGGTAGTTTCAGTGTCTACCAGTAGAGATGTGGTTGTGCTTTCATTAGTTATTGATTTATACATGACAGATTCACCCAGCACTGTAAATTTGATCTGGTTCAGGTATGATTGGATTGTGGTTGAATTACCTGAATATCATGTAATGGAGCATTTATGCTGGTATTATCTTTATTACCTGCTTAATACCCAATCAAGTATGATGTCTGTGAGGATAAAATTTACCTGTTATAAATTTCTTGAGAAAATTGCAACAGGCAGAATGATTTTCTGTCAGTTCAGGATTTAGCATTATGTAACAGCACTTCTGTCCTCTTCTGGATATGACACTATACCATACTGCTGGGTAGCATTCAAAACTAACGGTATCTGTTGGTGATTTGTGATACCAAATCTTGTTAGTGTCTGCTATTGCTTCAGAGCAGTGCTTAAGTATTTTAATTATGATTTGTGATTCTAATTTGGACAGAGATTTCTGTTTCGTTGTAATGACTTCAGTTTCCAAATCTGTGTCAGGAGGTTATCTGGTTTTACTTGTTAACAGCTTGTTATCATGATGTCTATAGATGGAAATGAGGACAAGAACCATACTTATTAGGCTGAGTAGTTTGAAAGAATCGTAATTGTACATAACTGTTTTGACATAAATCTAATAAATGTGTACTTTCCCTCCCCCCCCAAAAAAAAAGAAGGAATATGTTCTCTCTGTTCTTCTTCATTTTATCTTTTATACCATCAGAGTTAGCTAGTAACTTCTGTTTTTCAGGAACATACCAAAGAGAACTTAACCCTAGGTTCCAGCAAACACACAGAAGCTCCTTTGTTTCTCCGTATCATAATCAAATGAGGGGCAACCTCTGCAGAAATCCTCAACCACAAGGTAAAAAATGTTTGCATTTGAAATTCTTTCTATGAACAATATAACAGGTCTGTGTCTGTGTACAGTTTATATGTATATAAATTTAGGTATTGTATGTTTGCTGTTATCCTGTGCCCACAGCACTCAGCAACAAAACTTTTAAAATTTATTAGCAGAAACTAACTCTACCAAGTGCAGTAAGTCTTCTTTTCCTCACAACATTCTGAAAAAAAAATATTTCATGTGGTATTTAAACCTTACATGCTCAGTCTCAGCTGAGTGGTTTTTAAAACTGTAACAGATCTAAAATGAGTTGGCACAGCTGCCCCGAAATGTAAGTGTAAAGTCTTTAGTTGCAAATCTTAGTTCATACTTCAGTAAAACACTTAAGCATGAAAATAAACACATTTTACATGATTTTCTAGATCAGATCTCAGTTTCCAAACCATTACCTGAATAATAGAAATGGATGTCCTGTTTTGTCTTGACAAAAATTAGTCTTGAATCATTTGCCAATCCCCCTTCTTGAACACAACAGACATGTAATGCATCACTGTGGATAGCTCCACTGAGCTGATACTACTTCAATCTTACTTTCTTGTTATTATAAATGAAGACGTATAAACATAGATCAAAGAAAATATGCAAAAGGAAGAGAAGTGTCTAAGAAAGATCAGTTATTTTGTTAAGTCTGCAGAGCCTACATTTCTTCCGTGTTTGCAGATGATGTTTTCAAAGAAGACTGATGTGATTAGGGAGGAGTGTTAATAAATAAATACAGTAAAGTCTTTAATGTGCGTCAGATGCTTTTGTTGTATTCTTCAAAATGAGTTACGATCATTTAATTCACAAATAAAATTGTTTGATGGTACATGTAGCAAATACAACAATAGTGTTCATGCTGACTAAGCAAAAACCAAAACTTATCATTGTGGCTGTCTCAAAAAGCCTGTTACTCAGGAATCATTTTTGCAGGCACTCTGTTCACCTCCACTAGACGTATTCCATAAAGCATATTCTGCAGTAGCTGCACTGAATTGTGTTATAATCATAATTCAGTAACATTAATAAAATATTATGTCTTCCTCTACACAGGCAAAATTAAACCTTATTTACTACCCCCGGGGCATTCTTAAAATATGATGCCATAATTGCAGTTAAATCTCTGTTATAAATAAAAATGATTTAATAGGAAAACATGCTTCTCCTTATAAAAGAGTCTTGAAGTGTTTCAGAGTTCATTTTAAGCTGACCTGCCAAGATATTTGATGTTTTGACAAAGTTTCTCTTTCATAAGTTTGCTGATGTTAAGACAGGTATTTGATTTGCTTCATTATGTAGCTGTTGTCTCTGTTCTGTGTGTCTTTCATCAGAGAAACGGAATAAAAATGAAGAAAGTGTGATAGTTTGTGGTAAAACTTCCTGTGATATTGTTGATATCTAGCTGCATACATATCAGGAACTTGTTTGGCCTAGTGGCTAGAGCACTTAACCCAGTGACTTGTCTCGCTGGACCCAAGGATGCAGGTTCAGGCTTTGATTTTGTCACTGGATTTCTGCAAGGCTATTGTTACATGTTAAATTTCCTGCTGTTGCATATTATAGATAAATCATTAAATAAAATGCATTTTAAAGAACACTTTAAAAGTTAATGGTACAGTAACCATGGGACCCATATCTTCTGTCAGAAAAGTACCCAGTGATTAGGTGTTCTTTGCTCGTGCTTATCAGTTAATGTTTAAGAATTCCATGACAATGGCTTGACTTCAGCACTGGAGGAAACAGTGCCTCCACCAGAAAGCATAAACCTAAGACTCACTGGTATTTCAATGAGATGTTGATTTGAATACCCTCGGGCAGAGTAAGAATTGAACTATGGTATCCCTCACTTTGTGATGAATACTAACCACTGGTCTGTTGTAATTACTATCTAATCTTCCATCTGGGGTTTGAAAGAAGGGAATCTGGGGAGCAGGGTATTTTCTTTATTTATTTACTTATGTTCTCTTGATAAATGTGTTGGCTGTGTGTTACAAATCAAGAGAGTGCATCCATGTAACACAGTGAGACACCAAAGCCTTGCAGAGAGGGAGAAGTTTTTTATCCTCAGTGTTTCTTATTTGTTACTTTAGAAGACTTGCCATTTAGTGTTGAGTTTTCCACATTGCGTTCTGAATGCCTGACCATTATATGCCTAATAAATAGATCCTAGGTATCTGATTTAAAGCTAAGATTAGGCTTCTGTTATTGAAAAGTAAAACAGCTAAAAACATGGCTTTGCAGCTTTTGGTAATCTTTGTGCTTTGTGTTTAAAAGTTTTCCTTGAGGTACAACAAATGTTTGCAATAAAGCACGAGTTTCTGAATTCTAGGTGAAAATATTTTTTAGTATAACTTCTATCTGGTTCTAAATAGCGTATTTTCTTTTACTGAATTCACACAGTCTGATCTACCAACCATTGTGTATATATGACCTCTGTAGTTCGTTATCTGAGCCTTTACTTGGCCATAGATTTAGAACTTACAGTAGCCTAGGAGCTTCAGGAAGAGCTCCGTTATGGACTTCAGCTTTTAACATCTCAAAATACTGTCTGTAATTACATGCCAACTGAAGAGGAACGTGTTCTTTTCCCAAATATGTGACTATAATTTTTCTTGGAGGCAATCTAAACAAGCGTTTCCTATTTTGATTTCATTCAGGTAGAAGATACAGATCAGGACATTCAGACCAGAGGAGAAGATTCCATGTTCCACCTTGGTAAAGAATAAATGTGATGAGCTAGCAGACTGCGATGGTGGGATAGTTGCTGTTGAGATTGTTTTTTGTCTGTGAGAGCCTCTTACAAACTTTACAGAATAACTGAACCATATGACTGCAGAAGAAATGGATCAAAGCTGAGGGTATTTAGTATGTGAATGCCTTGCTATGTCTAAACTTGCTATAAGACCAGAATCACAGAACTAAGGTTAATGGTACCAGCTGAGGTATAGCTACATTGTTTTGTACCACTGACAATGGAAATTCTAAAGCATTTGTACCACATCATAAGATATTCCTGACTATTCTAGTTTTGTATACTCCAAGAGTTTGCTCGTCATGAATAACATGGAATATTCATGCTGAATTGTGGTTTGTGTCTTGGGTAGATTATATCTTAAGGATTATGCCACTGGTACTGAAACCTGTTGAAAACTTTGAAAAATGTCATCACTATTGCCATTTAAACATCACCTGCCAGCAAAACAAAATGACCTTCCTGTAAAATGCAGTGCTTTCTGGAAACAGCCAAAAACTGCTGTTGCTTTTGGTACTTAAGCAGTTCTCTCATCTGAATGTGCAGAATGAACCACAACATTGCAGAGGAGAGAAAGAATCTGAGTCTTGTCCTGCCCTACTTTGGCGATAAATAATACTTTTAAGAACCAGACATTTCCCTGTCCAAAATCTCAACGATATAATTGAAAATTGTCTTCATCAATGTAATCCTCAACAGATTCATTTTCTTAGGTTTCTACTGATCTTTTAATAGGCTTGACTCAAGTGGATGTTTATGGAACTGATTTCCTCTGTTTATGTGCTTTGGAATCATCATATCTTTAGTTTTGTACTTCAGCATTTTCAGTATATTAAGTCATATCATAATCTCTGTATGGGAAGTATATAATGAAAGGAAAATGAAAGCTTGATAAGACTGAGCAGCAGAAATGAATAAAGGATATGCAAGGATGGAGGTAAAATGTTAAAAGGAAGCTTTATAATCTGGTACAGCGTGCAGATTCTCACAGGACTATCTTTAGTTATTGAGGATGTTGACTATTCCAAACTGCTTTTAGACTTTTTTCACTTTTCTGTTCTTCAATCTGTAACAATCAGCAAGCTGTTTACTGTGCTGAGTGAGTAAGATGTTGTGACCCAATTCTTGTTCAAGTTATGTAACTTTATGTTACATTCTACAGAATATACAATATTTCAAGCTAGTTATTGTAAAAAAAAAAAAAAAAAACAAACATTCAGTGCCTTCTATCTGGCTTGAATTTGTACACCTTTGGCATCCACCTATTATTTTCTGTCTAAATTCCTTTGATTTCCTTTTATTTGAGGATTTTTTTTTTTAAGGAAATTCAAAATAATACTTTTCAGGCACATGTGGCTTTCATGAGCAGTTTGCTTTTGAAACTTTTTATAGGACTTTCTGTTAGTAGAATTGTTTCAGTGTTGATGCTTGTGTGTCTTATTTGGCTCATCACAACTGTTGATTTTTTAGGTCGTCCAGATGAAGTTTCTCAATACTGGAAGTGGATGAAAATATTATAATTTTCTTGTGTGTCTTTTTCTGATTGTGACACAATAAATACATTCTTTTGTACTCTGTGTATAGCAACAACAAATAAATTGACAGCAACACAGGATTTCTAATTCTGAGCAGACTCAGTTTTTACACAATACAGTACCTGAGTTACGTTGCAGGACTCCTGTCTTGAAAGGGATACTCCTACTTCCTTTTTTGCTTGATTTGTCAATGACTGTAATTGTACTACCTCTTTTTTTCTTCTACTTTTTCTTTTTCTTTTTTCTTTTCCTTTTTTTCTTTTCCTTTTTTCCTTTTCCTTTTTCTTTTTCCTTTTCCTTTTCCTTTTTCCTTTTTTCTTCTTTTTCTTCTCCCTCTCACTCCCAAAGCTTTTGGAATAATGTGGTCTGAGTTTTATGGAAAGTTGTTTAGTTTCAGGAATCTTGTGTTTAACAGTGTATATGAAAAGAATGCCACTATGAGCCAGAATTTCTTAGTAATTCCTCTTTCAATTCAGATACAAGGGAAGATTTCTGTTGGCCTTAAGAAACAAAATTACATACAGTTAGAGTGAGATTTTTGCTGTGCTAGTTGTGATATGATATGAATTGTTGGTAATAATTGCCCTGACTACTGAAGAACTATTAGACTCTGAGAATTTGTGTTGGTTTTTTTTCCTCCTAATACTAAGAAACTGCTGTTATTATTTCCAAGCTAAGATTTTTTCCCACTTGGAATCATAGAGCCAATGTAGGAGGAAGCTGAAAGATAAAGGGATTATTTTCCACTGTCATTGAAATTTAAATTGATCAGAGTACCACAAGGCTTATGGACTGCAGAAGGAATTAATGTACAGGAAAACAGCCTTAAAGCTTCCAACCTAATGATGTTGCATGAGTAACTGCCTATGGGTTACTTTGAATTGGTAAAACAGGTGTGGATTTGAAGTGAGGGAATCTATGTGAATTAAAAAAAAATAACGCCAGAGAAGCATTCTTATTTCATTTGATTAGATTGTTTGCCATTTTCTTTAGCCTTTATGAAGTGCAGCTGTCTTTCACCAAAGAAATTGAAATTGAACATTTATTTATCAGCTACTCTTGAAGAAAGGTTTGGAGAACATTCATTAACGTCAGTCATTTATTTGGTCTACCTTGACTCAATAGAAATAGTGACCAACAAGAGACATTTTGCTTCCTGGTTTCACCATGGATGTGCCTCATTACCGTGGACTTGTCCAGCAATCATGAGACTTCACATGAACCTGGTTACCATCACCAGACTTGCTCTGCTCTTGCTTGGATACTGTGGGCCTGCACCCCCACTGCATCTGCCCTTCCCTCTTCCAGCTGCCCACACTTGCTGCTCTGTGGCAGTTGGGCTCAAGGCCCAAATAGCACAGGGCATCAGAAAGCCTGACTGCAGGTACCATAGGAACTGGACAAGGTAAAACTAATAAATATGTTCTATGGAATAGCTTGCCGCTGAAAGCAGCTTGAAAAACTGAGAACAGTTGCAACAGCAATGTCACTGTAAAGCTTTCTCTGGTTAGGAACTTGCATTTGTTCTTTCATAGACCTTAGAGCTGACATTCAGACCTTTCTCACCCATTCACTAGAGTACAGTGTTTCAAATTGTGAAGCCTGTTCAAAACAATCATAGAATCATAGAATCCTTGGACTTGGAAAGGACCTCTGAGGGCCGTCTAGTCCACAGAGGTCCCTTCCAACTTAAAGGATTATATGACTGCAGACAGGAGTTTAGCTCTAGCAGTTTCAAGTTCTGTCATCCATATCTCTACATACTACATAGGATGTAGAGAGGGGCCAAAGAGCTGCACTGACTGCAGAATTTCAGTCACAGTGTTGCATTCTACCTTAGGTGTTCATATTTAATATCAAAATTGTGTTTCATCAATAAGCATCATCAGAAGACAAAATGCATTATCTGGGAAAACAAGATACACAGGATATGAAGGATGCATACAACTTTTAGGATTTTTTATTGTTGTTAGTACTTTTTATTCTCTGGTAGTTGCTATTTAAATCACTTATTGAATAGCCTATTATTGTAAGTGGTCACGTAGATAAAAAGCTACACATTCAAAGTCAAAATACTTAAGGCATGAATTTCAGTTTGAAATGCAGTGATATTTCAAATGTATTCATGTCCTCTTCACCATGCCAGAGAACACACAAAATACTAGACAGAGAAACCAGTCCTAGGTATGATACCTCTAACTGCCCTGGAGACTTGTAAGTAAAGACTAATGCCCTCGGTCTTAAATATTCAGTAGCCAGCTATGCAGCTGGTCTTTAGACTCTTCTTAAAGAGCAAGAGTGTACTGTAAGAACTGCTCTGACCTCAGATGGGATTTTTGAATGTCCTGTAGTTAGCTCTAAACGTCATTGGTCAGAGCAATGTAGTTTTTAGAACTGTGACAAGAAACTTGTATATCATTTATGACATCTGGAACGCTTAATTCATGGTAACCATTCTGGAATTACCTTTATTGGATCCAGCTTTATTCTAATAAAAAGACTGTTAATAGCAGAGGCCTGCTATTTACTTTCTGAGAACAATTTTCATTTGTGATGAAGATGCAGCTCATCTAAGAGGCTGCAAATGTGTAATGCTATGCTTTTTGATAATCATCTTCAGCCTCTGGCATACTTACCCATCAGATCCTTAAGTGCCAGCCTACATTCTGCTGGAGGGCCTTCAATTTGTGCAAAGTTCATTCAGGTTTGAAGCATGCTGGTGATGAAGATCTCTTGTGAGGTAATATGCATATGAAAGATCACCAGGTTTAAATGTGTTGCTTACTAAATACAGTGATAATCCTAATCTAAAATGTCTTTGAGCTAATGGCAATACTTACACTGTTGAGAATGCTTTTGTTCTGTAGGTGTTAGATAATTTCTCCACTACCTTCCCTGTGCAGAAAACAGACTCTGTGCATATCTAGGCTTGTTTGGCAACTTTGAGATCCCTCTGCATGTCTTGACAGTGACCCTGATTTGTGCTTTTCATAAAGGTTACATTTTGAATGATTTCTTGAAGTAATTGTTCAAAAGTAGTCAATAACCTGCAAATTCAGCTGTCTCTTACTTTGAGAACAGACTACAATTCCTTTGCATTAGTGGTTACTGGGTTAATTCTTGTTAATAAATAGTTCTGCGAGGAATTCTTGCTCCAAGTAATAAAAATAATTGCATTTAAAAAAAAAAAAGTGCTAGTAGAAGCCAGTTTGTGTGTCCTAGCACTTGCCTGTTGGAACTAAGAAAGAAATCCCAAATTTCTGATTATGCATTTGTTTACACTAACATGTTATTGCTTGATCAGTCCTCCACGTTATTCCTCCCTCTTCCTGATCAACATTCCCATCTGTCTACAGAGAAAACCCAAACAGGCGAGGCTGATGATTTGTTGTTTTAGAAAAAAGACAAAATAATAATAGTAATAGTAATAATAATAATAATGCTTCTGTTGCTTGTGCTCCCAGAGTGCAGTGTTTCAAGGGGTTGTTTACTGTGCATGTAATGCTAACTAGGTGCTGCAGCTGCTACAGCCTGCTGGAGCTTTTGCAATTTTGAGTGGATGAGTGTCCAGCCTGCTGGAGGATGAGATGCATTCTCCTTTCCATGCGCTAGATATGATACAGCCTTCAAAAAGGAATGGTGTTAATTCACCAATGGCTATAATTCTAGGTATGTGAGGGTATATAGCATGTGTGAAGTTCCTGTCAGACACACTGAAGCATCTTCCTCCTGTACAAGATTCCTGTACAAGCAAGGAATCTTGCTCCATATGACTTCAAATCTCTGAGAGGCCACAGGGAGGGAGGTTTTCTTTCCTGCATTAAGTTGGTTTTAGATTGGGCCCACCAAAAAAGATGATAAATCAGTGTGAATGTAATTTTACAGAACAGGATTGAAAGAAGAATGAGAATCTGAGAGTATTGCTTGAAAAATAGAAATTAAGGGTTATGTTTGATTTTAGATGCCTTGTGCAAATGTCTTCAGATTAACCACATCCTTTTAGATGCGTTAGGCTGACAGTGGTGGGAAATTAGCCCAGACCTGACTTCTGGTAGGTGTCCTGACTGCTGGGCTACAACTCGTGTGACAGATTGCATCCAGCACAGTAGGCTGCAGAATTGAGTTAATGGAAAATAGAATGCTTTGATGTTCACTTCTGGTGGGCTGGTCCTCCTGTCTAAAGGCTAAACACCTATTGTCCTCAGTAGGAGTTTTCTTTATGAAAGCTCTCACAAAATCTGCCAATTCCAATTTTGTTTTCAGAGGCTGTGGTTTGCTCTATTCCTACATTGCCAGCAATGCTTGCAAGAGTGATTTTTAATTTTTGAGCCTCTAACTTCAGATGCCACAGACAGAACCATATTTCTCAGAAATTGCTGAGCATCTGTCCTCTTCTGCTAGAGCAGATGTCTCAAAAGTATTTCCATTAGAGCATCATAAACGAAGGCACCTAAACACTCTGCCTTCTTTCCTGAGAAATAGGGCTAAGCACTGCCGAGATGCACCTTAGAAAACAGGCTCAGCTAGAATTAAAATAGGGGGGAGGGTGAGGAGAGTGAGAGCTAATACAGTAACAGCCTATGATTAGAAATCTCAACAATGACAGTGAGTTCTGTTTAATTTCTAACTGCTTAAAAGCAGGCCTGGGGAAATGCTCTGCTTAGAAATGTCATGGAAAGCGCAGCTGGTCCATGGGCTTTATCTTGAAAAGCAAAGGATCTTTCCCATTTTGCAGTAACACTGCCATTTACTGGGCCATACCACTAGCAATTTGCAACAATGGGAGGGAAAAAAGCTGCCATTTGACCTAGAATGCAATTTTCAACTAATTAATAAAGTGACCATTAGTGCCCGAGGGGATAATAACAGGAATAAGAACAAATTACTGTGGGGTGCAAAGGAGGCTTGAGCATTGTATTGCAAATTTCTTATGGCACTATTCTTTTTTTTTTTCCTCACTAATACTTTTAAAGTGCCCCCACTCAACACTTGCTCCTTGTAGGACCCTTGCAAACCACATAAGAATTAGCCCTTCAA